ATGCTTTTTTAAAACTGTGCTTCAATGTGAGTCATAACAAATTAATAAGAAAAAGCAAATAACTATGAACAGCATTTTGGTGGAACTAATGAGTATGTCTAAATATTACTTTCATTAGCTTTTTACTGTTAGTATTATAGATAAGCATACCCATTTGGGTAAACATTATGAAAACGACTACCTTCCTAGCTAAGAGATTCAGAAAATTGAGCCATTGCCTTGTGATTTTAATCAATGTTGGCATTGAGATAGAAAGTCCACACTCCCAATGGGTCTCTTTTAAAATCTTGGGAATTCTTGGCTGAATTCTCTGAACAAACACTTCATTGATATGGTGAGTATGATTATAAATAATGTGACTATTTTTATCTGATTCACTGGAAATAAATCAAAGTAGTCATCATGTTTGTCATAAACAAGGGCACTTAACTGCATTCACCAGAAGGTAGAAATTACTTCTTCAAGGGAAAAATATTCTGACCAGTTATTTAAGTCAGATTGCATGCCTCTAGTCTATTCTCACACAGCAGATAATAATCTATTAAAGAAACCAGTCAGATCATACCACTCCACTGTTGTAAATCCTCCACTTGCTGGCAATTATCAGAAGAAACAATTATCAGAAGAAACCTCTTATCTCAATTTCCTTCCTTAAATGGTAGCTTCATACAATTCCTTAAGCTCATCTAGTAAGTGTTCATTTTAGGATTGCTTTTTTTTTTTTTTTTTTGCTTTGAACTATCTTTCTCCTTGATACTAGTATGGTTCTTTTTCCTCCTTCCCTTATTTTCAAATCTTCTCAAACATCTTCTTGTAACAGAGACTTCCAAGGAACCCCTTAAGTAAAATCTACCCTTGCTTTTACTCTCTACCTCTTTTCCTGTTTTATATTTCTTCATAGCACTTCTCAACCATGATATTGCATTATAAGTTATATATCTGTTTACTTATTATCTATCTATATGTTAAATGTTAAGCATTTACTGTCTGCTTTAAACCTTAGAATGTAAGCACCATGAGGGGAGGAATCTTGTTTCTTTCAATTACTAATATCTCTTGTTATCTAGAGGAGTGCTCTTTAAATGAATAGCACTAAGATCGATACTTTCAGTGAATTGACTAAATGAAATATAACTTGATCATCTAACATGAATTTCAAAATTTGGATTGATATGATTTCTCTTATGAATCTGAAGTCCCCCTTGCACATGACCTTTAAATCAGTTTCTTCTGAGAAGGGTAGTCCATACAGTGCTGAGGAATATAAACATGCAAAAACTTTCTCAGAGCAAAATTTGGCAGTCTAAGTTAGAATTACAGCAGCACCAACCACAACAACATGCCTTGACCTAGTATTTTCACTTGTAGCTATTTATTCTACAAAAATAAACAAGACACAAAGCTTTGTGTGTGTGTTCATTATAGCATTTTGAATTCAATAGGACTGTTATTTCTATAATAAAAACAAAAATGTTTTTCTTCCTCAGAAAGTAAGATAAAAGCATCTACTAATGAGAACAGAGAACTGTTTTATAGAACTGAAGTTTCAAATGCTTATGCTTAATAAAATGACTGTAAATTGCAATGCCCTGTTCTTAGATACCTCACAGTACCTTGCATACCTATAAGCCCTTGCAACAGTTTTTTTTATAACTACAAGGTATACATCAGGTGACTGGTCTACTTAGTCACAGATGACTAGACAGGGAAGGACACCTACCCCAAGGACAGGTTTTTGGTTGACCAGTGGTCATCAGATGCATACATCCTATACCTACAGAGATATAGGTATTTTATTGCCTTTTGCCCTATTTTTCCCACTGTTGATTTTCTTGTGTGTTCTTTAGCAACCTAAAGGAGTTTAACTAGCAGTATATTAATGGGAGCTTGGCTTAAACCTTTAACAGGCCTAATCTCTGAAAAGATTGTTTTTTATTCTAATTTATTCTCTAATTATGCATGATTTGAATTAAAAATAATACTGACAAGTACAGGAAGTATAACTAAATTCTAAAAAGTAAGTTTTTTCTTTGATAATTTTATGAAAGAAAAAAAATGGTAATTCACATTTGTTCTTATATTCCCTTCTAGGTAACCCAGTAATATTAAAAGAAAGGTGGGACAAGAAAGTCCACATCATAGTCCAAAGCACTTTGCCTGTCACCAGTTGGGTCACTATTTGACTAATGTTTTGTAGAGGTAATTGGAAAGCATATTTCTACAAATGTTTTTATATGTTCTACTGCTTTTAAAAATGGGGTCAAGAAGAATATGTATCTATAAATTATATTTTGTTATCTAAATACTCTCTTATATTTTTCAGCACTATTAGATATCATTGTAGAAATATATTCAATTATTAATTTAAGCCTCAGGAATCCCAGTATATATAAGTAATGAAGTTTCAAAGAAGGGCTGGAGTTATGTCTCAGCAATAGTTATGGCTAGCATGTGCGAGGCCCTGGGTTTGATTCTCAGCACCACATAAAAATAAATAAATAAAATTTATTGTGCCCACCTAGAACTAAAAAATGAATATTAAAAAAAGTTTCAAAGAAAATAAATTTTTCATTTTATTTAAAAACAGCATATGCTGAAAAACAACTGTTTTTTTTTTTCAAAAATAGTATTAGATCCTACATAGGAGGTCAGTCTTGAGTGCAAATATTTCTATTCTTTATGTTACTCATTGCTCCAGGATTGAGTATAGTAAAGGCTACCAATGGGGCCATATGTTGTGGTGTCAATTTGCGGACTTTGTAGGCATGGGCCTCAGGAGTGCAGAGAGTATGCATGATATCACATGCCCAACTCCCTATCCTCCACCCTAAACCTGTGCCATCAACCATAACTCTGATTCTGCTATGTGAGCCTAATATTTACATTGCTGAAGAAGGCAACAACCCTGAATTTTTCTCAGAGAGGCATATTGTAGAATTTCTCAATGCAAAAGGCTGTTTGTGTCTGACCATGCTTTGCAAGCTCACATTGTTGACCATTTAGCTAATTACCAATAATGGTAAAATTGAGTTAAAAGCTATGTTCTCTTTGAATTATAATGTAAAACCGATCCCTTGACTTTCTTAACTACTAGATTATTTTACATAGATGACTTTTGCTTACTTTGTCAACTAATTTTCATTTTTTAAAAATAGCTTTATTGATGTCATTTATATAACATACAATTTAGCAACTTAAAATATCTACCTCAGTGTCTTTAGTATTTTAGTTTTTATTGTGAATCTAATTTTTGGACACTGTTCATACCTCAAAAAAAAAAAAAAAAAAAGCATACAAACAAACAAAACCCTATGACCCACAGTGGTAAGCCCCATTTCCCCACTTCCACACTTTTGAGAACCACTAATCTTATTTCTGTTTCTATGGATTTGACTACTCTGGACTTTCAGATAAAGGGAAACATAATATTTGGGCTTTTGTGACCAGCTTCTTTCACTTAGCATAATTTCAAATTTGCTGACTCATTCTTTAGTGGGATTGCATATCTACACACTGTTTTCCAATACTAAAAGTATATTTGGATATTCACAGATTGATATTTAAATTATATCTCAAACTTTTAAAATAAATAGACACCCCCCCAAAAAAAGAAATCATGAATTTAAAGCACAGCTCAATATAATAGTTTCACTGATATCATGCAGACTACTAATGAACATTTAATCCTGAAATGAAACTTTTTTCCATAAATCCTTACATTGAAAAGTACTTAAATTGTTTGCTCTCAAGAGTCCTTAGACTCAAAAAATATGGAGAATCCCTCAAAATTTGTATTTATGTTGATACTAGGTACCAATATTTACCATATTGAAAATTAGGAGAAAAATTTTTAAAGACTTTTTGATAATTTAATTTAAAATGACAGAAATATAACTATGTCATAAAAACATATTTGAATGAAAAACTTATTTTCTAAAACAAAAGAGAAAATAGTGAAGAGGGGCATTTTTACGTTTTTGTAAATCTTATTAAAGTGTCTAATTTTACAGACAATAGCTGAATTTTCATAACTGCCTCTGCCTTTAATCTATTACAGTATCACACAACTAGAAAATTACATTGTACATTCACAAGAAAATGAGAATATAAAAGGCAAATAACATGTTAGCATTACTGGAAAAAAAAGAGTTTTGATCTAATAGGCCACCTAAATGGGTTTTAGGGATCCTCAGGTATCTTAAAGCCATCCTTTGAGAACTCCTGGTCTAGATTCTGCTCTAATACTGACTGAGATTCATTTTAATGAGATTGCTTTATCTATAGTATCATTAATACAAATTTATAGGATGGAAACTCTTGGTAAAACAGAATCAGGAAACTTCAAGAGAATAGTTTTCAAAGCATTTTGGCTACTACATTATATAGACCTGTTTAAAATCTATTTAAAATAAACAGTCTAAGTGAAATACAGCATGCCATGTTACTATACATTTACTCCAACCTGAAATATGTTCTTAACTTATCAGCAAGTAGAACAAATGAGACATTACTATATATTGTTGAAATATCTTATTATTACAGTATTATCTAAAACTTCTATTTTTGTCATTAATTCATAAGTTTATATTTTACACTCTTTGAAGCTTCTCCCCATCTTCATGATAATTAAAGATTGCTATTAGTTTCTGTATTTGCTTTATAAATCGTAAAATATTCTTGAATACTTCTAAAATGTACATTAATATAATAATCTTCAAATAATTGTGCTAATCTGCATACCTAAATAAAATGATTTAATAGCCACAAATTATGTGGTTAATTTTAGTTTAATTAATATTTATTTTTTGTATGCTTTACAATTTAAAAGTAATAACATGATCCGTAAGTTTATGGATGCTTGCAATCCCAAAATGATTAATGAGCTTACTGAAGCTGTAGCAGCTCATGTAGAATACCTCCAAAACTTTGTGATTTAAAACTAAATTTAAAAATCTAGGTATTTAAAACTCAAGCTCAAAAACCACAGTCTGGGCACCTACCTTATAATATCTCCTTCAAGAGCAATCACTCTCTTGATGATTTTTTGCTCTGGATTTTTAGGAGACCTATAATAAAAAGATAAGTTTATAAGATATGTCTCTATTTAATCTTAAGAAAATGAAAAGAAATTCTATAGCAAATAGATTATATTAAAGTCATTAAAGAAATATTTGAACCTATGATATAACATCAATCCTACTTAGGTGTGAATTAAAGTTACTAATGAAATAATTTTCATTTCAAATATCTGGAGAAAAAGAAGTCATGCTGAAACTTTGCAAAAATAAAAATGCAGGATAAAGAAGTTTATCATTAAGGGATAAAATTTATTAATAGGTTATTAGTGTCATTAAATACTTTGGGGAAAGACAAAACATACATAAGAAAGCATTTAGATATTTCTTTAAAACAAAAGCATACTTAGGTTAATTTTCTTTAAAATTAACAGAGGAGTTAGATTTAAATACTAAATTAAATTTAAAAACTAAATTTAATTAGACTAATTAAATTATATACTAAACAGAGGAGTTGGTTTAAACTCTCCAGAAGAAGCATTTTTTTAAAAAAATAAAAAATTAGGAAATTCCTTTATGCTACATTTACACTAGCCATTTGAAGATTATAGACTATAGTAGCCCCTAGAACAGGGTTACTAATGGTTCTGATGTACTTAAAAATGACATCATTTATTTTAATCTATTTGACTAATAAAAAAAAAAACTTCTACTTGGAACAATACTATGTACTCTAAACGACTCCTTCTGGTAGATGCCTCCTGTGTACATCCTTTCGACCTTGTAATAATAGTGATCTGTGAGGTCAAGACAGTGTGGGAAAAGTGATGATACATCAGTTTTGAGATGTGTCATGAAAGAGACTTTCACTTCTAGTTTGAGCTCTTCTTTTCTTGCTCACTTCACCCACCCCTCCTCCCTCTCCCCTTTTTCTCTCAGGGAAACCATTTCTGTCCTGAGTAAACCTGTTGAGAAATCACTTGCTGAGGACCCAGATCTCCTCACAGTCATGTGAGTAAACTGAGAAACAAGACCTTCACCTTAAGTCAAGTCCTTAGGAACTGTAGCACTGGTTAACATTGCGACAGCAACCCCATGAGGGATACTAAGCCAGAACTAACCAGATAAGGAACTTCTGCTCTCCAAATCCTTAGGAAATATGTGAGGTGAATGTTTGTTTTTTTTAAGTTGCTAGATATTGGGGTAATCTATTATACAACAGTGCATAACTCTATTTTGATATGGTTAATTTACTGCCAATAACATTAAGTCAATCTAAAACAAAAGTAGGGGGAGAATTTTTGTGAATATTAAAATCATTTATGCCCAGGGTTTGATTTGATTATTGAAATGCTCATTAGCAGAAGACAACTGTTTAAGACATATGACATAACCTGAGAAGAAAATGCTCTAAGCTAGGCACAGTGATGCATGCCTATAATCCCAGCAACTCAGGAGACTAAAGCAACAAGATTGAAAGTTCAAGGCTAGCCTAGGGAATTTAGCAAGACCATGGTCTCAAAAACAAAAAGTAAAAAGTGCTGGGGATATAGGTCAGTGGCAAAGTGCCACTGGGTTGAATCCCCAGCATAGCAAAAAGAAAATGCTACAAAACAAGAGTAAGACCCGAACTAAGTTTCCCTTGTAATATTGAATGAGACTTACCATTTATGAAATAACAGAAAAATAATCCCTACTAGCTAGTATAAAAACAGTTATGTGAACAATCTTTAAGCTTTTGAGATGCTTGAGAAGAATTTTATATTTTTAAATAATCTGTTTTTTAAGACCATGAAACAAAATAGAATATGTAAAGTGAACAATCTTTATGATTAAAATCTTATAAATTACTACTTCAAATACATCTATACATTTTAATGTAATATTAAACTCATGACTCTAATCAAATAATTCAAAATGAAAAAAGCTATTACTAACATTAATTCCATTACTGCTTAAAATCTATTAGGCTGTTGAATGCATTACTTTGATGTTAGTAGAAGTGGTAGAAGAGTTATTACAGATTTACATCATAAATGTTATTAAACTTCTCTTTGTCTTAATTTTCTTGGCCACTTGCCTATCTTCTAGAAAATGTGAAGAATAACAAGTGGAGGATTACACCTTACTTTAGGAATATAATATATTCTTCCAAGTTAATCCTCAAATTTACATTTAAATTTTTAATTTTAGTATTTTCATAATATGGCTTGTTATATTCATTTCTGAGACCAGCATTGTAAACATTCTGTTTTATGCTTATGATTTAATTAGGTAAGATTTCTATAGACATTTGGACAAGGAGCCTAGAATTATCTCTCTGTTGCATGGGCTCAGTAAATCTTTCCAGTATGACAGAACATGTCTCTAAACAGAATGGCTTTAGGGTAAGGAATAAAGTATAGGGTACACATAACAGGATATCCTTAAGATGATACTCAATGCTCTACTTTTGAATTTCACATTCTATTCTGATGTTTCTATTTTACTCACTGACAAGTCAAACATAACCAGGCCTTAGATTTTGTAATCTTTTAACTAATTTCATGTTTTCTATGTCCTCAAATGTAGTAATTTTTGGCCCTTTCTGGAGCACTGGGAAGGTACTTTGGGGTACTTATGAGGGACCCCATGTTTTGTGGAAATGGCACGATTAGCACCCAACCCACCTTCTGTCACTGACATCCCTATGTCCAATAGACCCTTTACTCTGGACCTACACAGTCCCATTCTTCTCCCATTTGAGGCAAAATTCTAAATCTTCTGTGAATCGGACAGATTTTCATATTTATATGGCTGAGAATTGGGCCAGACTGTCATTGAATTAATCTCTGGATTAGACGTCACTTTAACCACAGTCTAATGCAAGCGTTGATCCTTCAAAAGTACCCACCATTTATTGGACACTAATTACATTGCATGTAACCTAATGAGGTTTAAATCTTGGTGCTTCATTAATGAAGTAAAAGTAAGAATCAATACTCAGGGGATACTTTATATTAAATAAGGTACATTTCACTGTCCTAAGGGCACCCATGCACTAAATCATATGATTTGGCTTGACCATAATTTTTAAAATTTGAGTTTTGTTATTGTTTTAATCATCAAAACAAGAGTAGAAAGAAAAGTATGCTCAATGTAGTCATAAAAAGTCCTTCCTTTAAGACTTACAGAATATTTTTAACTCTCTAATAAAAGTATTTTCAGATTTTGTTGCATGGATGGCAAAGAAAAGCCTTTCAAAAGTTAAGTTTTATTACATAATTAACCAAAGAAATACCAAAACTAAATGTAACAGTGTGTTCTGGTTTGGATATGAGATGTCCTCCAGAATCTCACATGTGAGACAATGTAAGAAGGTTCAGAGGAGAAATGATTGGGTTGTGAGAGTCTTAACTTAATCAGTGAATTAATCCCCTGATAGTGATTAACCTGAGTGGTAACTGAAGTGATAGGGTATGGCTGGAGGAGGTGGGAATTGAGGACATGGCTTTGGGTATATTTGTATCTGGTGAGTAGATTCTGTGTCTCTGCTTTCTGATTGTCATGTGAGCTGCTTCACTTTGCAACACCCTTCCACCAGTATATTCAGCCTCACCTCAAGCCCTGAGGAATGGAGCTTTCTGTGTATGGATTGAGGCCTCTGAAACTGTGAGCACTCAAACTTTTCCTCCTTTAGAATTGTTCTGATGGGGTCCTTCAGTCACAGTGGCAAAAAAGCTGACTAAAACACAGTGTTCATACGGAATAGTCAAAGTTTAGTTTTAAATTACATCAACACAATTGATAAAATAAAGATAAGGAGCAATTTCGGTGTTGGATTCTATATAATTGCTTTACTATCAGTAGTGTGAACTCTGTGCCTACACTCCCCCTTTTTATGCATTCATTTTAAAAAATTAACACATTTTTAATCATTAGTATTCTCAAAACTTTTTACTTAGTCTATCATTTCAGCTACAGTTTTCTCCTTGCTAAACTCTGTGCTTCATGTGAATCTTTATAAACTTCAAAAAAAAAAATCTAGACTTCTTTTGCTCTCTGGGTTCATTCTTATCCTCGAAACTGTGGAACATCTAACTTCAGATATACTCCAGAAAAGGACAGATATATATTTAATCCCTAACAATTAACTTTTTCTCTGATATCTCTGAAATTAGTCCAATCCAAGAGCCTTAGTATTAACAAAATGACTTATGAATGAGGTGGCAAGAACTCAGGTTAATATTTCAAATTTGCTTTTTAAAATCTGATTTTCTAGAAGGAGAAAGGGAGATCCCAAGAAAAGTATCTCAGGCAGTCACAAAAAGTTGTTATATGTTCAGAAAACTTTAATGCAAAGGAGAATTAGAAGACTAGGACTTATCCAATCTCATTTGGTAAGACTGGAACAGGATAGGCATGCTTTTCCTAGTTGGCCATACTCTCAGACTTGAATAAGGCTACTGAGCAGCGACAGTGGAACTTCTTCAGAGCACTGAAGAGGTTCCAATCAGGTTTCTAGAGATCTAAAAACATGACAGTAGCAACAGCAACTTTATTTCAAATTCATATTCATGATCCCTTACACAAGTAAATATGTTTTAATAGTACTGATAGGACAAAACAAAAAAGCAGGAAACTTGAAAGATTTATAAAATTTCTTGGTTAAATGTAAATATTGTTTTCACGTTTACTATGATTAGAAGTTTAATAAGCAAAACTAAAAACTGGTCTTATAAGTAAGTCAGGCTTGATTATATAAAATCAATTAAAATTATGTAAAATCAATTAAATGTGTATTAAAACTCTATCTTCTATAATTAAAAAGAGGTGCCACAGCTTTTTAATTGAGTTTTTTATTCTAAAAACAAAAATCTTCACTTAACTATGAAAAGTCCAAAGAATTTAGTATAATCATAACAAGAAGTTAATTTTTACCAATGTTTATTGACTCAAGTATTTCCTGACAGAACTGTTCAATCTTCAGGTATTAAAGATAATTACAATTACAACTGTACCTCAATATCTAGATAGGTTGTATGTAAATGAATATATACAGCACATAGATAATATACAG